GCGGGGATCTGCCCTGGGGAAGGGCTCCCCGTGTTCTAAGCTGGAAAGGAAGTCCAGAGACTTAGGAGGGTCCCTAGCTGCTCTCAAAAATTCCTCTAGGTCTCTTCTGTCATTTGAACATGGCTCACTAGGCAGATAGGCTTGACTGGGGGCTGAGGGCAGTGGGATCACCTTCGGGGCCCCCCGCCTGCCACAGCGGGGAACACATGTGGGCCATGAGGCCCAAGGGGAGACAGGGGAGAGCACCAGGGCTGTGGTTCTGGGTTCCTGGGCTGAGTGTGTGGCCATGAGGCTGTGATGGAGTGACTGAGAGGCGGACCCCTTGGCAGAGCGAGCTATCAGGCAAGCTGTGGAGGCCTGGGCTTCAGGCTGCCTGGCACAGAATTCTCACAGGGATGCAGGAAAATCAGGGCAGGGGGCGGCCTTGGGCAAGCCACATCCCCTCCCCCAGCCTCAGTTTCCTTCCCAGTAAAATGGGAATCAACAGGCTGTGAGGGAGCTGCCTCCCTCACAGCCTGTTGTGAGGATTCAGCTGATACCTGCTAAGGTCACCTTGGAGACAGGCCCAGTGACAGGCCGGAGATTGAGGGAGGAGTGAATGGCAGGGGGTGGGTCATACAGAGAGTGCAACTTGACTTGGGGAGTATCTGCAGACATCGGCCAGGCTGGCTTCCAGGCCTGGGGCCGTGATACAGACAAGGGTGAGGGGCCCCCAGGGTGGGGTTTCAGGCACCAGCCTCTTTCTGAGAGAAGCCAGGGTGCTCCTGCAGGGCTGGTCCTGCCTCTCCACATCAGCCTGGGAAGGGACCCTAAGGGGAATGACGTGCGGCTATGCTTACCAGCTCGGGGTCTTCCTCGGGGTCTTCCTCAGGCTGGACCCTGGCTGCCGCTTGGAGTGAGGGGTGAGGTGGTAGATGAGCTGCCGGCAGATCTTGTCTGAGGACTTCCAGAGCTCATAGTCCTGTAGGGAGGTAGTGCCGTCACGGGTGAGTTCAAGCCTCTCTCACTGCCCTCTGGGCCTTGGAGATCCGAGTGTGTGGTGGAGCACACACAGTTATTCATTACAGATCACTGAACTGCCCACTGGCTTCCCCTGCCCACCCCCCACTCCAGCTACGGCTCGGCACAGAGCCAGGGGAGTCTGCCCACTGGGAGCTGGACAGGCTGGTCTGAGGCCCGCAGTGCCCGGTGGGAGGAAGCCCAGACAATGGGCCCTTGTTCCCGGTCCTCAGGCCTAGGGCCAGCATCTCCAGCTATCAGTCGGCCCTCTGCCCACCCTCAGCGCTCCCTGGGGACTCGCCACAGGGGGAGGCAGGACCAGGCCCCTCCAGGGAGCCCTGCTCCACTGACGCCACCCCCAGAGAATAGGAACAAGCCAGGTCAGCATGTTTCTCTACCTCTCACTCTCCAATCTATACTGCGCCTGTGGGGTCTGGACTGCCAGGGCTGGGAGGGTTAACATGTTACAGCAGCACCACCTGGCTCCCTCCTGGTCCTAAGTGGGCCTTCGTAGAACCCAGCTTGGGCAGAAAACAGGGGTGCCCTGCTTTCCACAAGCTGGCAATGAGCACGCTCCGCTACCCACATGTTCTTTATCCATTCCCTCTGTTAACAGCGTGCACGCACAATGGCGGCAAGCCCCAGGGGTCACTGTGGCAGCTCTAGGCTACCTCAGAATCCTCGGTGACAACTGCATATAGATGTGGGAGTTCAGAGCTGGCAGGGCCCATCGTGGGCATCCTTGTTTCACTGTGACTAAGGGATGGGGGTTGGGGGCTGGCCACAGGCTGTGTCAGAAACACACACTGTCAATGCTCATGGGGGCAGGATGTCTGCAGGTGCCCTCAGAGGAGGGTTCTGGGCAAATGTGGTCCATGGGGGGAGGAGGGTGGAGGCTGCAATTGGCAGATGCCAACTCAATATGAAGGACTTGCTTATACTGACTTATACTGCTGTGGGAAGCAGTGAGCACTTGTCCCCAAGGGTGTCTGTACAGGATGGGGACATGTGGACAGGAGTTCCAGCCTAGGGCAGTTCTCTTCTGGCCCAGGAACTCAGAGGCTGGGAACTCAGAGGTTTGGGCCCATCAGCAAACTTGTCAGAACCTTCTGTGTCCTGCAGGGTCCCCATACAACTTCCTGCCTGGATTCTGGGGCCTGGTGCACAGTGCTGCCACTCAGGAAATGGTCTACTCAGCACACAACTTTTTGGGTTGGGAAAGTACAGCTCACATTTGCTCTAGCTGCTGCCCAGCATAATACACTGAAACTGGCATAAGGTCCCAGTGAGGGACAGTGACCTGCCTAAGGAATTGCAGCAAGGCAGATAAGGAGCCAAGTTCCTAGCCCCCAGCCCTGGGCTCTCCTGGCCTGTCAATCACACCACCCAGCCTGAGGTCCTTGCCTGCTGGCCTCACCGTCTCGGGGCATTGCAGGTCGCGGGCCAGGTTCACGAGCAGGTCATGGGAGATAGGATCTACCAGATTGAGGAAGGCCACGTTCCTGTAGAGGATGTCAGTGAGGAGGGTTCCCTCGAGGCCCAGGTCCTGTGGGTGGTGAAGACTTGAGTGAGCCAGGAGTTGGAGCCGCCCTTCTCTGACCCCCCTCCCAGCCAGCCAGAGCCCCTCACATCCGTTCCCCTCTCTCCATCTCTCCGAGGCTTCCTGGAGTCTCCCCACAGGTGGTGATGGGCCAACTGTCCAGGGGCAGGTGGACCTTTTAGATGAGGAGAAAGTCAGTGCATCAGGGGCCTCAGGGGGTGATAAGTGGGTCCCAGAGCCCTTAGACTGGTTCCCTGAAGGTGAAACATGCTGTGGCACCTTGCATTCTCTGGGGTTGTGCTTGTCCAGGGGATTCTCTGAGGGTTCCTCTGATGACTCCAAAGGCCACTGTCCTCTAGTATTCCCTTTGGGCCCTTTGTCTTTTCACCTATTCCTGTCTGTTTGCCAACAGGTCCAGACCCTTGCTGTAGAGGTAGACTTCTCTCTCAGTTCAGACTGGGCGTGTTCATCTCCTGCCCTGAAGCTGGCCTCACTTCCTGTCCCCCAGCTCAGTAAAAGGTGTTATCATCCCTACCTTCCCAGGAATCACCCAATACTCTCCCTCACCCCTCTCCACCCAGCTCTCCCTCCTCATTGCTCGAGGAGGTTCAGGCTTCATTCTACAAGAGCCTCCCCTGGGGCTCCTGGACTCCCGACACTCTTCCAGTCTCACCCTCAGGTTGCCAGAGCCTGCTCTATGAAACACACACCTGAGCTTGACCCGTAACCCCCTTTGGTGGAGACCAAATGCTCTCAAAGTTGTGTGATATCAGACGCACGCACAGTCTGCAGTCTCAGAGCTTTCCACAGCCTGGCATTCACATTTTCCCTGCCTACCAGCCTCCTTGTCTAGCCTCCAAGTCTCTCAACTTCTCAAATAGACTCCATCATCGAGCCCCTGGCCTTCCTGTCTTCAGTCCTTAATCTCTTGTTACTCACACAGGCCTGGTGTGGTACTAAACACCCTTTTAGAGGTTCTATTTAGAGGATCTAATGACAAACTGATGAGGTAGGCACAGCCAGGAGAGGCCTCCAGAAACCATGTGGGCCTCTGCGAGCCAAAGAGTAGCATGTTCGATGCATAAGCCCCCTGACCACAGGAAGACAGCCCAGGAGGGAATGCCCAAGGGCTACAACTGCAGCGTTTCTGTGGGTTATGGGGCAGGACAGGCCCCTCCCTGGGCCTTGAATCCCAACCTCTCGGACAGAAGGGGACAATGGAGCTGGTTTCCCAGTTATAATGCCCAGCTGGTGCCTTGGGCTGCAGATAGAAATCTGTTCCTCTGGATAGTCTGGCTGATTCAGTGATGCTCTGCTGTTTGTATTATAAACATCCTTCATGTTCATGTTGCAGATGCCAGCTAGGGAGAATCCAGAAGGAACGGGTGGCTGGTGAGACTGGGCTGACCCAGACAGGGCCCCAGACCGCAGCCTGCTTTCTGCTGGTCTGGACAGCTCCTCTTAAAGGGCCAGCCTCACCTTTCCAGCCTGCTGAGCCAAGAGGAGTGCAGCAGGAGGAGCAGGGCTGGGAGCCTAGAAGTTGAGCTGTGTCCTTGGCTGGCCTCGTCTGCTCTGTGGTCCTAGGTTCACCACTTTCCTCCAAGCCTCAGTTTCCCATCTCTAATCATCCACCTGCAGGCCAAAGACCTGCACAGCTGATTTCAGCTTACAGGATGGGGCAGGTTGTGGGGGCAGCTGCTGCAGGGAGTGGGGACCTGGGCAGAGAGGGAAGTGGCCTGCCTAGTGATGATGCTGGGAACGGGACCCATGTCTCCTAGGGTAACCCAGGGCTCGGGATTGGAAACTCAGATGCCTGGTGTGTGTAGGACCAGAGCCCCCACCGGTCCAGATGTGGTGTGATGTACAGATGCCAGGGGTGTGTACTCAGTGGGCGTGAGCTGTCCTTTAGGAGGATGGGTGATGCATGATGTCGCTCTGTCTGGGCCGCCATGGTGTCATGGTGAGGTTGCACCCACTGAGCAGCTGGGCTGTTGCTTCCCAGGATCCTCTCTCTAGGGCAGCGGTTCTCAACCTGTGGGTCGCGACCCCTTTGGGGGTCGAACGACCCTTTCACAGGGGTCACCTAAGACCATCGGAAAACAAAAAGATATTTACATGACGATTCATAACAGTAGCAAAATGACAGTGATAGAGTAGCAACGAAAATAATTTTATGGTTGGGGGTCACCACAACATGAGGAGCTGGATTAAGGGGTCGCGGCGTTAGGAAGGTTGAGAACCGCTGCTCTAGGGTCCAGTGCCTCCCCTCACCCCGGAGGAGTGGGGAGCTGCGGGCTTCCCGTTGCTCCTCAATACAAGATGCTCACACTAGCCACTCCTCCCAGGCCCCCTCCTTTCCTGTCAAGTACTGAATCTGGGCTCTTACTGGGTTGGGGCACTCTCAGCACACACAACAGACCTCAAACCCCAGAGGCACTCACCTGCCACACTCACAGTTCGCACCCGCCTCAGTGGCCCTCACTCTAGCTGGCTGCCCTCCCTCCCTGCTCTCTCGCCCAGACAAGCTCCCACCCCGCAGCCACTCATATCCTCCCCCCGGAATCCGCCCGGCCCGTGCGCCATTCCGGGGTCGGCCCTGCCTCGCGGCCCCTTCCAGGCCCGAAGCCCACAGCCCCCCGCCCTTCTCCGGCCTCCAGCCCCGGGCTGGCCCGCTCCTTCTCTCGCCTGGCGCAGGAGGCGCAGTAGCTGCCGGGCGCGTTCGGGTCGCCGCTCGCGGAGCGTGGACTGGATCTCGCGGAGCCAGCGCACCCGGCGCTCATACGGCGCGGGCCCGCACCCCGTCGCCGCCCCCGCCTCGGAGCCCACCTCACGTCCAGCCCGCCGGCCCAGCCGCGCCCCCATGGCAGCAGAGCTGCTGGCGCCCAGCGGGCGGGAGGCCCTGCCATTTGAGCCCCGCCCCCGGCCCCGGGCCCGCCCCCGGATGATTCCAGCTCCCTGACGCGGTGGGCGCGCTCTCCCTCACACACAAGCACACGCTCCTTCCTCCTTCCCTCCCCCGCCCCCGCCCCCGCCCCCGTCCGGGGATGCGCGGGGTGGCGAGCGGGGAGTCTGGAGACGCACATGTCTAGCAGGCCGGAGCCAGGGAAGGGAGGGGTGTTTCCAGCTGGCGCCTCGGAGCTCCCAAACACTTGGTGTGTGTGTGGGGGTGGGGTGGGGAGGAGGGGCTGTCGCTGGAAGACAGGCCCCTCCCTGCCCGCGCTAGACAGGCCCCTGCCCGTGCTAGCCTTGGTACTCCTGGCTGGAGTCGCTAAGCACCGCCAGGACGAGTTGGCGCTTGGCGCCCCTAAAGCCTTCTGGCCCCAGTGCGGACTGTGGAATAGTTGCTTTGGCGGTGCAAAGAGCACTGGACTTGGAGTGAGGGCGGGGTGGGTTGGGGGGTTCCGCTGACGTTTGCCAGTCTTAGGCAGTTCCAGCACCCACTTTCAGAAATCACCCCCAGCAAAGAGCAATTGTAGTATCTGACCCGTACACCCTGCTTGGACACTCCTACAATGACAAATATTTACTGCCCCTCCCTGCTTGGCTGGCGACAGGCCACCGCAGGCTGGCTGCAGCCCGCCCCCCTCTGACCCAGGCCTCTAATCTGGAGCCTGGGAGATAAACTGGGTGAGGAGTGCTGGTTAACCGTTAAGCCCAGCTATGGTAGAATGGCAGCAGGCTGGCTGCACCTGCCCCTGGCTTTGGGTTTTACTGCCTGACAAGGGGGGAGGGGCAATATAAGAAGGGGAACCTTGGCTCTTCCCAGGACGAGGCTTGAGCTAAGGACCCATCCAACTCAAAGAGTGTCCCCACCTTCTGAGACTCTCCCAGCAGGAGTCTGGGGACTTTGTTGGAGGCCTGCTGCCCTCTGCTGCCCCCACTCAGCTCTAGACTCCTCACATTCCCTGGGTAGGGGGCATTTGAGATACTAGGCTTCTGTCCCCAACTGCCACAGCAACCAGGGCATGTCCAGACTGTGAGAACAGTGTGCCTGGGCACAGGTGCAGAAGGGGAGTGGGGTGAGAGGCGACCATCCAAGGGCACATGGTGAGGGCAGAGTCAGGTTCCTTCCTTTGGGTTAAGCACTACCTGGCTCTGTGATCCCCCCTGAGACAAGGCAGTGTCCTCACCCCTCGACTACCCACTGAACCCCAACCCTTGCTGCCACTGGCGACTTTCTATCCTGGGCTCCTTTCTCTCCTGGCAATTGCTGGCTGGACCCAGCAGCCTCCCCTCCCTCCTGTATAGTCAACACCGTCCTGGGGCCACCTTGGCACCACAGGTTTCCTCTTTGGCAAACCTGCATGACTGCCTGGCCTGCCTTCCCTCTGGGCCAAGGCACTGTCGCTGAATTGACGTGGTGGCGAGGGAGCCAGAGACTTCAGCAGTGGCCCGAGTGCCCCAGGGACCTCTAAGACCCCCCTTTCCAGAGCTGGCAGCCTGGTAAGACCCTCCTCCCCCACCCCCACATCCTCACGGCTGGAGCCAGAGCTGGGATGGCTCCCAGGTCCTGATCATATCCTTCCAGAGGCTGAGCCAGGCCTGGACATTGTCACCTTGAATGTGAGAAGACTGAGGTGGGGGTGCAGGGTGGGAGAAAGGCCAGCTGAGCCTGAGGTCATGCAGGGGGCAAACCAGGTAGTGGCATACGGGGGATGCCCAGAGTTTAGAGTCTTGTGGAAAGGAAAGAACTAACCCTAGCCCCATCCCTCACCCCACGCCCCACCCTCGATGTCCCTGGCTGGGAGATTCCTGGAGAACGTGTTTCCAGGAAAGGAGGGAGGGTGGTGTCTGGATCCAATCCCTGGATGGTTTTCCTTCAGCCTTCTGTGGGGGGTGGCTAGATTGAGCTGGCTTTTGGGGACTCTTTCTGGCCTAACCTGATTTGGGTAGGAGCCCCCAAAGCCTGTGCCATGGGGAGTGGGGACTTCATTCTCCCTCACTAGCCTTCATGTGTACGTAACTAAAGTCTGCTGGCCCCATTCCCTGGAGTTTTCCTGGGCAGCAGAACTGTGTTTGTGGAGACCCCATGGGGCAGGGGGAGGGCTGTGAATTTGCCTTCTTAGCCCCCAGGATTGATGTGGAGGTTCAGAGACTTGTACCAGCTCTCTCAGGGCAGCCCTACTCACTGGACCTCCAGTGAGGCAGAGGTTGGGGAGGCAGAGAGCCATGGGGGGAGACAGCCAGACCCCAGGCCCTCTTAGAGGCAACCTGAGCCCCAAGTGGGGCCTGCAAGAGATAAGTAACAATGACAGGAACACCTTTGGCTTCCCAAACCCTTGGCCACCCATGTGGCGACTCAGCTGGAGTGACAGATAACCAGATGTCCAGATGACTCAGAAGGTGGGGTGGAGGGCTGTGGCTGGAACTGGACCTGTCCCACCTTTGGGCTTCTTCTCTGCCCACCAGTGGTCCAAGTCCAAGCCCAGGAGAAAAGTCAGCACAGGGCTAATGGTACCTCAGCAAGTAGCCAGGTGACACTGAACCTCCTAGCAGCCAATTCAAAGGAGGCAGGATGGTTTTGGACTCGCTAGGTGGAAGGAAGCAGATGCTCTATGAAGGCAGTTTTCCCTGGAGCCAGCTCTGCAGGGGTGGGTTGTCAGCCTTCTACAGGGCCAGAAATCTCCATGGGGGTCACAGGTGTAGGTTCAGGACCTGGATTAAAATCCCCTGGACCTGACACCTTTGGGGTGTGCAAACATAGGCAAAGTGGGTAGCTGTATGAGTTTTCTGTGGCTGTCATAAATTACCACAAGCCTGGTGGCTTAAAACAACAGAAATGGATTCTCTCACAATTCTGGAGGCTAAAAGTCTGAAATCAAGGCATCAGCAGGGCTGAAGGCCCCAGGAAAGAATCCCTTTGCTTTTTCCAAGCTTCTGGTAGTGCCCCAGTCCTTGACTTTCCTTGGCTTGTAGCTGCATCACTCCAACCTCTGCCTTTATTGTCACATGGCCTTTTCCCCTCTGTCTGTGTCTCTATTCACATGTCCTTCTTATAAAGACACTAGTCGTTGGATTTAGAGTCCTAGACCCTAATCCAGTATGACCTCATCTTAACTAATGACACCTACAAAGACTCTTTCTAAATAATGTCACATTCTAAGCTCCTGGGTGGACATGAATTTGGGGAAACACTATTCTACCCTCCACAATGGCCTCTGCAAACCTCAGTTTCCTTATCTGTAAAATGGGGAAAATAAAATGCCCATCTTGCAAAGGTTTCATAGGATTAGACGTACAAGAAAAGAGTCTGGTACACAGCACTGTTGGACAGGTGTCTGCTCTTTTTACTAATGAACCTTCCATAGTTCTATCCTGAATCCACCCAGCCACCCAACAACCATCCTCTTCCATTCAGTGATGATTACTGGGCACTGTGGTTACATCAGAGGCTAAGACAGTCAGAGGAGGTCACAGGAACCGCTGTGATCAGCCACCCCCTCCGAGGCAGCTAAGGAAGGCAGCTGACCAGGAGGTAGAAGAGGGCTTCAGGAGGAGGTGACATTTTGGTTGGGGTCTAAAAGAAGAGTGCTAGCATGATACAGCAGCAGGAAAACAGGGCAGAGCCTCAGCAAGGCAGGAATTTATCCGGAGGGCAAAGGGGGCCTTTGAATGTTTTCAGTGGGGGAGGGGCATGCTCCAATTTGCAGGCTGAGCACTGGGGCTGCAGTAGGGAAACCAAGGAGAGGCTGGGAACCCAGAGGAGGAGTTGCCGCCAGGTGAGACGGGATGGGGGTCAGGTGCAGCCATGAGGGGGTACAGAGGTAGGGACCACTGGATGGGGCCAGTCAGGAAGTGGAGGTGGCCACACTGAACTAGACTCTGACTACCGTGACTGGTGGAGGTTTGAGGAGGTTAGTTGCTTAGCTCAGGCTCGGGCATGTAGATCTGAGGTATCTGAAACGTCAGGGAAGAGGACATTTGAGCAGGAGTCAGCTAATGCGGAACCGAGTCCAGCTTGCAGAGGTGAAGGAGGCCAAGGATGTGCTGTGAAAAAGGGGGTGGGAGATGGAGCCCCTGGAAATCCAGGGTGTGCATGGAAAATGTTGGGCAGTTTTGTCATCAGTGAAACCACATGTCCACTTAGCCCCGTGCAGGGTTGAAGGCGGGAGGGGGATGAGGGGGGTCTGGGG